CCACAGCAGCCACCTGCCTTCTACTCCTGCCTTACCAGGTGTTTGTAATGAGGTCCAGACCTTGGAATTACCCAGCAGCAGCCTCAACAGCTTGGAGAGCTTGGAGCCCCCTCTTCGGCCTGGAGCACCCTCAGCGCAGACAGCTCAGCTGCTAAGCACATTGTGGGGAGGAGGACCTAGCCCCCAGGCTTACCTGGTGGGAAATCAGCAGGCCTGGCTTGCCCTGAGGCAGCACCGAAGACCCCGTTGGCATTTGCCTTTTCTTTCCTGCCTGGGGACCAGTCCTGAATCCTAAGGAGCCTGTTCAGGAGCCAGAAAAGTCAGAGTTCCGCATCTCTGGCCGGAAAAGCCCAGACGTTTGGAAGTGCAGGTTAAAGAAGCCTACAATTGGAAGCATGGAAGAAAGTGTACCTGAGAACCACCAACTACACAGCCTGGGCTAACAAGCTAAGAATCCAAGATCACTCCAGTACCTGGAATCCAGAGTAAACAGCAAAACCACAGCCTGGAACATGGAGGTCAGCATCTCTGGAGGCTCGGCTAATTCCCCGTCAGTGAATATATCTCAGGGCTAGATGCTGGGAGGAGGTAAAAGAGAAAGATAAAAAGCAATAGAAAGTGGAGAGCCTAGATGCCACTTCCTCTTAAGTCCTCAGAGCCAGGCTAAACACAAAGTTCTTTGAATTCATCAGGAACCACAGAGGTAGAATAGGTATTTCTACAGCTGGATCAGTCCCAAGGGCTGTATTACCCTGTACACCCCTCCCCATTATTTTCAGCTATTTGAAGCACATTGGGCTGTAGGATCTTCACGTTTAAGCTTTGGTTACTCAGAGTTCAACATGTTTATTCTTCAATTACCTGAATGGTGTTTACCCCCTGGTAGATGCATAATCCTTGCCGTGATGGTGGTGCACTCTCCTTGGAAGGGACCAGCACTTAAGACTGGGCACAGCAGGGTACGGAAGGGGAAAAAGGCTGCAGAAAACCGACGTGTTATCAGAGACATGTGCAAATGGTTTCGGCACGGTTTATGTAGTTTCTTCATCGTGGTACAAGATAACTATGAACGACAGGTTGTATTTGATGACCGCTTACTTTGGGCCCCTCCATACCCTGTGCCGAAACTACCTCTCCTTTTTGGCTGGCCTTCTCCTCTGGGACTGCAGAGCCGAGGGACCTGAGAGCCCGCCCTAGCGGCACTTGGTGCCTGCGGCAATGCGGCCACGCACAGCCCCTTACACTGACGACACTTCCGCCCGCGCGAGTGTTTCCGGGGCGGAGGTTACCATGGCTGCGGCTTTGGCTCGGCTGGGGCTCCGGGCTGTCAAGCAGGTTCGGGTTCAGTTCTGCCCCTTTGAGAAGAACGTGGAGTCCACGAGGTACGAGAGGGAGGGAGTGGGGATTGGAAGGGACGCGCCTTCCTCCCACTATGGGTCCACCCCCCTCGGCCCAGCACTCACACTGCTTTCCCATCGCAGGACCTTCCTCCAGGCTGTGAGTAGCGAGAAGGTCCGCTCCACCAACCTCAGCTGCTCAGTGATTGCGGACGTGAGGCACGATGGCTCCGATCCCTGCGTGGACGTGCTCTTTGGTGGGCTCGCGAGGGAGTCTGGCGGGAGTGGGCGGCAGGCAGCCCGCGCGCCCGCAGCCTGGGCCTCTCTGTCCTTCTTGTACTTGATTCGTTCGTTTCTTCCCCAGGGGACGGGCATCGCCTGATTATGCGCGGCGCCCACCTCACTGCCCAGGAAATGCTCACCGCCTTCGCTTCCCACATCCAGGCAAGGAGCGCGGCGGGGAGCGGGGACAAGCCTGACGCTGGTGCCGGGCGCTAACTGCGCGGAAGAGACTAAAAAGCCTGGGATTTGCTAGGACACTTATCCAAGAAAAGCTTGAATTAATCACTCAAATCATTATCTAGAGAGCCACAGAGAGCCCCCCGCCACACACACACACCCGCCCTCCGTGGCTACAAATTCAACCATTGTTTCTGGGACGAGACAGGATCCGGAGGTGTCTGGACAAACTTGAATTTATTTCACTTTTTTACCATCATTCATTGTTTAACCGTTTTGATTTTGGCTTCCCCCGTAACTCTCAAGGTACCTCTTGAACTACCTTCTTGGGTTAAACCCTACATTTCTGTTTGGCTTTAATCTCAACTTTTTTGTTATAGTCGGATTACCTACTACCAATTTTCTCCAAATCCTACCAACACTCTGTCCAAATAGAATTGATAATCTTACATACACATATACATACAAGCCTCACCCTCTGACTTGCCCATTACTTTTAAAGGTACTTCATCTGCCCAGCCACCTGGGCTGGAAACTACAGCATTATCTCTGGTTCTGTCCTCTCCTTTTTCCTGCATATCTAGTCAGTAAATTCTGAATATTGTGTCTTAAACAAAAGCTCTTGAAATATTCTCTTCAATCCTATTCTTCTCCTTATTGCATTCTCCCACCAGTCTCCTTTTTTTCTAATCATTTTTGAGGCTGCTTAATTTTATCTTTCCAAAGCACATCACTGGTTATATGTCTCACTACTACTTGTTTCAAAGAATAGTTCCTGAAGTACTTTTAGGCATTGTGCTTAAAGTATTTTTCATACTGAGTTACCACCTATTAGTATCAATCATGAAGTCAATTTAGGGGGTAAATCAGCCTTTTAAAAACAAAGTAAAATAGAATTAAAAGTATCAGAATGTATGACACATGGAATAGGAAGTATTTTTTAAGAAACTTAAGTTTTAAGCATATAATTATGAATATATGTGTATGTAGATGTATATATATATATAAAGTATGTGCATACATGTGTATCTGCACGTACGTAGTTGCAATAGAGAATTATTTCTTTCTGTAAGTTATGGGAAAAAATGGTTGCGAGCCATTCACTAGTTTAGAGAACTTCAGAATGCTCAACGAGGCAATCAAGGATCTTTAGATATTGGCTCCTGTGTACTTTGCCAAATACATTTTGCATGACTTTCCTACCACATTGTTATACTGCTTCTTTGCTTAAAAGAGTGCTACCTTCAAAGGGCTGTTTTTTCTCTCCCTTTTAAAAAAGAAAACTATCAGGAAGCAGTATAGTGTAGTTAAGAGCCAGAACACCTGGGGTTGAATCCCACCTCTGCCCTTAAGCAGTTATGTAACTTTGGACAAATTACTTATTCTCTCAGTGCCTGTCCCCTCATTTGTAAAATGGGGATAATAGTACTTACCTTATAAGATTATTGAGAGGATTGAATAAATTGATATCTCTTAGGCACCCAGAACATTACTGGGAATTAAATAAATGTTATGTAAGAGGCCTTGTCCTACTTCAGGTACACCATGAGAAGGCAGGGTTCTTTGGAAAAGACAGTAATGCTGAGAAAGATAGAAGACAGCAGGAAAAGAAGAAGATCAAATATGAAGTGGATTGACTCCATAAAAGAAGTCATAGGCATGAGTTTATAGGAGTTGATCAGGGCTGTTGACATTGGGGACATTACTCATTCATGGGTCACCAGGAGTCTGAGCCAACTCAATGGCAGGTCACACAAGAGGCTTTATGTTATAGTTGAAAAGATACAATCTAGATTTGAGTTTCCCAGCTCTGGTTAATTGGCTATTATCTTTGGCTAGACTTAACCACTCATTTGTAAAATGGGGATGGTTCAAACATTGCTATAAACATGGATCGAGCACTGGCACTGTATTTCTAGATTGTGAATTTGAAGTTGGGGCTGTTTTCTCTGTGTCCCCAGCACCTTGCATAGTGCCTAATACAGAGTGTACAATAAATATTTGTTGAACTTACATTTAGAATCTACCTTGTGCTTATAATTGATTAGTAGTACTAAGATACAAAGATGAATAATAAAACAGGTATGCAATAAATGTTACAATAGAGATGTGCACTAGGTGCAGTGGTAGCAAGGAAGACAAGACTGTGAATTTGGGCAGAAGGCTTGTCGAATTGTTGAATGAGCAAGAAGTTACCAGTGCAGGATGGAGCCAGAAATCAGATTATAGTGAAATAGGAAGTGGGCATGCAGCATAGCATAAAGTATTAGATTTATATATGAGTTTGGATGGGAGGTGTGATAATAGCTAGAGTAGCATAAAGGTATGGAGTAGAGTTTTTCAAAAGATGATAGGGATTCGTACTTTATGAAAATACCTTCTGTGGAGGAGAGACTACTCCTTAATGTGACTGCTGCCTGACTCACCGGGTAGATCCTAGCCAGAACAGAGATTGCTTCCCAAAAATCCCCTCAGAGACTTTGATCGACCTTTCCCAGCCCCAGGCAAGATTATAAGGCATTTTACTCCTATCTGGTTTAGGTCACACCCCTTAGCGCCTGTCATGTGGTGTGGAGGATATTCATGTCTTGCTGCTACCCAATACGCACCTTATATGAAAGTTCCCTTAATAAATTCTAGATGTAATGATGGAATTGTCAGCCTCTTTCTCCAGTCTTTTTGCCCTAGGGAATTTTACGTAATACGGTGTATGCTGAGCTGTTGGTGAGAAATAAGTAACTGAATCTAAGCGCTCTGAACCACCACCAAATGTAATGTTGACTCTTCTAGGTCAACTTGAGATGCTGATGCTACCCCTTTCCTACAGTCTTTCCTGGCCTGGACATAAGTGACCCTTAAGCTCCTTTGCTTCCTGGGTTGTAGAAAAGAAAAAATATGCATTCTCTAAGTGCCCACACCACCATTATTGTCCTTTTTAGGGTTCATCTAGATAAGGAATCTTGTAAACTGATGGAGATATGATTTGTCTAAAGTGCAAAGATACTGCTGGAACAGATTTAAGGCTTCCTCTTGGGCCCACTCCAGCACTCTCCACTAGGAAAGTGAGCAAAAACGATCCAGTTTGATTCCGATACACCTGGGTTCCAAGTGCCCCACTTTCTGTCTCCGGCCAGGGCCAAGTGACTTTAACTTTCTAAGCCACAGTTTTCAGCCACCTGAGTGGGGCATGGTAGGGAGAGGTTAAAAGTAAAAGCATCTCAGGTGTGTATGTATATATACATATAAGCCATAATATGTAATATACATATATATGTATATACACACACACACACACACACACATATATGTATACACACACACATTTGAAATATATTTAAAAGAGCGCAGTGTGAGATTGGTTTCTTTTTTTTTTTTCTACTAGCCTGTAAACTCCGTGAGGACACCAAATAAATGCTAACCCAGTGAACGCGGAGCCGACCCAATGACTAGCCCTGTGCCACACCCGCGATAGCGGTTCGGAGCTCGGTGTCTTAACCTGACGTAGCGGGGCTGGACTTCCGGCAAGAGGCGGAAGCAGAGCAGAAGGCCGGGGCAGGCTGTTGCTGCTGAAAAATCTGTGGCTACCCGGCGCTGCGCTCGAGCCGAGGAGGCGAGGCAGACCTCGGGCTCCTTTGCCGCCTCCCGGAGCTCTCACGACGCCGACCTCCTTGCCAGAATGGCTCGGGGCGAGCGGCGGCGCCGCGGAACGCTGGCAGATGGAGCGCGGACCGCTGAGGGGGCGTCTCGAAGCGGCACCGCGCGACGGGACAGCCGTGTTGGCATGACCCGTGGCACGGTCGCGGGAGCCGTTCTGGCCATCGTAGTCCTGCCTCTGGCCCTGAGTCTGTCGGGAAGCTGGCTGCTGGCGTGGCATCGCGCGCGGCAGGCGGTCACGCTGCACTCCGCGCCCCCCGCGCTGCCTCTCAACTCTTCGAGCCCCGCCGTGGCCCCGCACCTCTTCTGGGGCACTTACCGCCCTCACGTATACTTTGGCATGAAGACTCGCAGCGCTCAGCCCCTCCTCACCGGTAACCGGGCCCCAGCGGGCAGGCAGGCGAACTCTTAATCTGGATGCCCCAGCTTCATGCCAGAGCAGGAGTGGGGAGGAGTGGATCAGGAGAGTTATGAAGAGGGATGACCCTGAAGTTCTCAGAGACCCAGAGGGACAGGATCCTTTCTCTCTCTCTTTGACTTACGTGGCCATTCTACCCCCAGGACTGATGTGGGCGCAGCAAGGGCCTGCCCCAGGGACCCCTAAGCTCAGGCACACGTGTGAGCAGGGAGACGGAGTGGGTCCCTATGGCTGGGAGTTCCACGACGGTCTCTCCTTCGGGCGGCAGCACATCCAGGATGGGGCTTTAAGGCTCACTACTGAATTCGTCAAGAGACCTGGGGGTCAGCACGGAGGAGACTGGAGCTGGAGAGTGACTGTAGAGCCTCAGGTCAGGGTCTCAGGACACCGTTACCCCAGCTCAGACTCCTTCCACCCTTCCTTTGCTGCCAGGAATGCAGTATGAAGTGGGGAGGAGTGGGTAGTAACAGCTCTGAGTCTGCCTGCCTTAAACACTTGCCTGTAAGATCATCTCTATTTACTATCTCTGGTTTCCTTTTCTGTAAAATGGAGATAAAAATAGCACCTAACTCAACAAGATTGTAAGAATTAAAGGAAATAATATATAGTGTTCTTAGCATAATACATGGCATAGAAGTGCTCTCTTATTTCCCAGAGAACCATGTGCAAGGCTCTTTATTTCATCCCACTGTGTGCTTACCTGCAGTGACCCTCAACACTGCCAGATGTATGTTTCTCATGTTGCTCCTACCTGGTGCTCCTTTCCCTCAATAAGTCTGATTCTCAAGGGAGAATGCCAATCTAATGTTGTGTTTTTCTGTCCTCTGTGGTCATCCAGGCCCCAGGTACCTCTGCCCTCCCTTTGGTGTCCTTGTTCTTCTATGTGGTGACAGATGGCGAGGAAGTCTTAGTGCCAGAGGTTGGAGCTAAGGGGCAGTTGAAGTTCATCAGTGGGCACACCAATGAACTTGGTGACTTCCGTTTTACACTTCTGGCACCAACCAGTCCTGGGGATACTGGTCCCAAGTATGGCAGGTAACTGGGGGAAGAGAGTGTGGGGTGGTGGTAGGGGTGGTATGGATGCTGACTTGATTTCTTTCTCCCCTACTCTGCCCTCTTTCCAGTTATTTTCCTTCTCACTAGGCTCCAGTCCCTTGCATTGCCAAAATCCTCCCATACTGACTCCTGATCACCTCATATTTCTTAGTAATACCCTTTACTTCCTCCTCAATAATACTTCCTATTTATCTTTTTCTCTTCAAGCTACAATGTCTTCTGGTCCTCCAACCCAGGACTTCCCTTGCTGACAGAAGTGGTGAAGAGTCGCCTAAATAGCTGGTTTCAGCATCGGCCCCCAGGGGCCTCCTCTGAACGCTACCTTGGCTTGCCAGGATCTCTGAAGTGGGAGGACAGAGGCCCAAGTGGGCAAGGACAGGGACAAGGGCAGTTCTTGATACAACAGGTGACACTGAAAGTCCCATTTTCAATGGAGCTGGTATTTGAATCAGGCAGTGCCCGGGCAGAAAACCAAGCCCTGGGGCAGCTGGCAGGTAGCCTGCTGACCCAGGCCCTGGAGAGCCATACTGAAGCCTTTAGAGAGCGATTTGAGAAGACGTTCCGGCTGCAGGAGAAGGGCCTGAGCACTGAGGAGCAGGCTTTGGGTCAGGCTGCCCTCAGTGGCCTCCTCGGTGGAATTGGCTACTTCTATGGACAAGGTCTGGTATTGCCAGACACGAGTGTTGAGGGGTCTGAGCAGAAGGTGGCCCCAGCCCTTTTCCCACCTGTCCCTCTCTTCACAGCAGTGCCCTCCCGGTCATTCTTTCCACGAGGCTTCCTCTGGGACGAGGGCTTTCACCAGCTGGTGGTCCAGCGGTGGGATCCCTACCTCACCCGGGAAGCCCTAGGCCACTGGCTGGGGCTGCTCAATGCTGATGGCTGGATTGGGCGGGAGCAGGTGCTGGGGGATGAGGCTCGAGCCCGGGTACCCCCAGAATTCCTGGTGCAACGGACAGTCCACGCCAACCCCCCAACCCTACTTTTACCTGTAGCCCACATGCTAAAGGGTGGTGACCCTGCCGACTTAGCCTTCCTCCGCAGGGCCTTCCCCCGCCTGCATGCTTGGTTCTCTTGGCTCCATCAGAGCCAGGCAGGGCCAGTGCCATTGTCTTACCGCTGGCGGGGCCGGGACCCAGTTTTGCCAACCTTATTGAACCCCAAGACACTGCCTTCAGGGCTAGATGACTATCCCCGGGCTTCACACCCTTCAGCCACCGAGCGGCACCTGGACCTGCGGTGCTGGGTGGCACTAGGTGCCCGTGTGATGGTGCGGCTAGCAGAACAGCTAGGAGAAACTGAGGCAGCTGCAGAGCTGGGCCCACTGGCTGCCTCATTGGAGACAGAGGAAATCCTGGATGAGCTACACTGGGCCCCAGAGCTAGGAGTCTTTGCAGACTTTGGGAACCACACAAAAGCTGTGCATCTAAAGCCTCAGTCCCCTCAGGGGCTAGTGCGGGTAGTGGGCCGGCCCCATCCTCGCTTACAATATGTGGATGCATTGGGCTATGTCAGTCTTTTTCCCTTGCTGCTGCGGCTGCTGGACCCCCACTCATCCCGCCTTGGTCCTCTGCTGGATGTTCTAGCTGACAGTCGTCATCTCTGGAGCCCCTTTGGTTTGCGCTCCCTTGCAGCCTCTAGCTCCTTTTATGGCCAGCGCAATTCAGAGCATGATCCTCCCTACTGGCGGGGTGCTGTGTGGCTCAATATCAACTACCTGGCCTTGGGAGCTCTCCACCACTATGGGCATCTGGAGGGTCCCCACCAGGCCCGGGCTGCCAAGCTCCACAAGAAGCTGCGTGCCAATGTGGTGGGCAATGTGTGGCGGCAGTACCAGGCCACAGGGTTCCTGTGGGAGCACTACAGTGACTGGGACGGGAAGGGCATGGGCTGCCGCCCTTTCCATGGTTGGACTAGCCTTGTCCTACTGGCCATGGCTGAAGACTACTAAAGGGGGAAGGTGGAAGGGGAGCCAGGCCCCTTGTGCCACTCTGGACTAGAGGGACAAGGTCTCTAGCTTCTTCCCCCCAGTCCTCAGATACCAGTTTCAGACTCTCCTCAGCTCATCTCAGGTTTCTCCTTACTGTCATCCCATATAGCTCTGGGGTGAATGTGAATTCGGAGTCTATTTTTCTAAATAAATTGAAAAACCATGCCAAACTCTTGCTCTTGCCAGCTTTGCCTCATCAAGAGGTCTTAATCCAGGCCTTAGGGATGCCTGCTGTCTTTCAGAGAAAGTACAAAAAGTGGCCATTACCTGTTCCCTCCAAATCCAATGTCAGATTAAGTGCAGTGCAGTGAGTTGAGCACTAGTCCACCCAAGTCCACAAGCATCTGGTTCACTTTAATGAGATCAAAGGCTCCTGTGTATGTTGTGGGGGTTAGAGCTAGCACAGTCCCCCAAACACTGCTCCTCTCCTCAGGACTCCAGCCCTTTTAGGCAGATTCTAGGAGGGCAGGGAAGAGGCAGAGAACTGAAGGAGTTGGGACCAGGGCTGTTTCTGGTGGACAAGTAACCCCCTCTAAGACTGCTTATGGGATGTTCCCTTCACTGGAAGTCAGCCCCACAGGAGAAACCTGGAGCATGGGATCTAGGGGCAGCACAAAAGGGGAGTGGTCCCCCAGATCTGGCTGGGTGACACTAACCCTAGCCTCCTTGAGTGGCTCGCCATCACTAGAGTCAGGACAAGGGCAGAGCTCAATACCCGAGTCACCGGTCAGGCGGCGATAGCGGCAGGAGAGGGGTGTGGGGACAGGGCTCACCCCTGCCTCAGTCCCACCCTCCTGATGAGGGGGGGCACTCTGGTGGGAGGAAACACCTTCCACATTTGTTCCCTCGTAGTGGGCAGAGCAGCTAGAAGCAGAGGAGCAGCAGGTGCATTCCCTGGAAGCAGTCAAGGGGCAGCCTGAGGCCACAGTGTAAGGAGGCGGCGGTGTGCCCGGGTGGTGAACCACATCCTCATAGGCTGGAGGTTTGAAGGCGCTGAGGAGGCCTGCAGGAAAGAATGGCATGGTTGGTTGAAGGCAACCAGGGGTGAGGTGGCAGTCACTTTCTTGTTAGGGAAAGTGTGCTTTGAAATGTCTAGGAAGAGAATGGGGATGATTCAGGGTCCTGGTTTGGGAAGAGCCATTGGTAGCCCGGAGTCTCGAGTCACTCACGAAGGTCAAGCAGTGAACCAGTAGGGACAGGGCCAGCCCCATGGCATGCCCCATGGTAGGCCAATAAGTTGATCTCTCGCTGCCGCTGCTGTTGCTGCAGCCGGAGTTTAGCCCGTCGATGGCGGAAGGCACAACAGCAGCTAAAAAGGATGAGGACAGTCCAGAGCAGCCAGAACCCTGCAGGTGATAAGGAGGAAGAGTCTTAGATACCTCAAGCAGAGAAGGGTCCTTGAAGTCTGGAATTCTGAGGTCTAAGGGAGGGTGGGCAGAAGGACCTGCGAATAGCCCTGTTGGAGACTCACACCAGAGTTCATAGTAGTAGGTACAGCAGCCAGTCTCCCCGCAACAGTGACCACTCTCACAGAGGTAGGGCTGGTTGTTCACTCCTGGGCACAGCTCTCGAAGCTGGGAGCAAGGAGGCACTTAGATTCAAGGGCAATTCTAGCCCAAGGCACTGTCTACTCCACCCCTACCTGCTGCATGCACATACAGAAGAATCCCACCCTGTGAATCAAGTTTAGTTAAGAGATCTATGGAGAGGGAGAATAGTGGTGTTGAGAGGAGTGTTCAAAAATCTGAAGGGTTGTCACCAAGGAAGAGGATTTGGAAGAGCAAGAATCAGTCTAGAGAACAAGATGAAGGTATGGACATACAGAGCTGCAAATTTCAGCTTTGCATATAGGCTGGCCTCCAAGGTGTTTTCTGTTAATGGAGTGTTTTAGTAGAAGCCAGAAGGCTGAGCTATCTCGGAGCCTTGGACAATGGGCAAGGGGTTTAAAGTAATTTCTAAAGCTAAAATGCTTTCATCATCCCCCACGGCCTGCCACTCCCCATCCCCAAGGTGATCTTTCCACCCTCGGGTCTCAGACTTCCTAGAGTAGAGAAGGGGCAGGGTGAGACCCAGAGCAGTGCTCCCAACCAGATGGGATTGCTGTGGATGATGAAGGATGGCATCCAGGGTGCGACTCTGGGTTCCAGGTCCTCTCCAAATTGCTCCCTCAAGAGAAGACGCTGCTGGATTCTGTTGTGACAATAGGCACACAGAAAAATATCACGAATAACTGTTGTAAGACAGGGAGCCTCCCTGGGGCCTCACTATGCCTCTGGTCACTGGAGAGCCACTGCAAGCTCCCACTGCAGCCATGAGATGGGTCTATGAGGCTGCAGGAAAAGTCAACTGCATGCATCTACGTTACAAAGTTTAGACAAAGAGTGGAAGGGGCATATTTAGGAACTTCACAGTACCTTTAACTCCGTGAGCTCCTCCCCTATCCCCACCATTCCAAAAGAAAGGGGCAGTAAAGGGGAAAGGGAAATAAATGGCTGTCATGACAGGCTTTGGGAGCTGTTGGGATACCTGCTGTTGCGGCACCCGAAGTGCCTCCCAGGCCTCTTCGCTGCTGTTCCCGCTGCTGGCCTGAGCCATGCCTCCACCTACAGCCCCCAGAAGACCACAGCCTCCTCTACCGCCAGCTGCCCCGCCCCTGCCACCTCTGCCGCCACCGCCATGGTCCCTGCCCGGCCCATCTTCACTGCCGCTACCATCACTCCGCGGTCGGAGCTCCCATCCGGGGAGAGCTCTGCCAACTAGAACCCAGGTTGCTCTATCCTACCAATCAGCATCGCTCTTCGGCACATGAGCCAATAGGAGCGGATCGGAGGCTTCTCCCGGTGACCAATACACAGCAGCGCCTACGCCACTCTCCCAGACAACAAGAGCTTTCACAAAGAGTGGGGTAAGGCTCGAACCACGGCCCTGACAGACAGCGCCAGTAGCCAATAGAAACAGCAGAACAGGCTTCGAATTGTCAACCAATGAACGGCCGTCCAGAAGAGCAACTTTCCCCGCTGATTGGTTCGAGCCCTGCTTTCGGCAAGACGCCAAAAGCCTAACCACGCCAGGTAATTCTGCTGGAAATCCTGCTGGAAGAGGTAGCAGGATCCCAAGTCAGTTGGAGTCTGGGAGCTAGCGGCCAGTCTTCCTGCGGCCTGGCGTCGACGCAAGCTCCGACTGGAGCAAGATGTGTGTACGTGGAATTGGCCTCCCATACCCCATTCTCCCAATTCTGTACAAGTCGGGACACCGGATAAAATTTAATAGGGTGGGGAAGACACTGAATCCAGGCAGGAGAGAGGGCAGAGAGTCTGAGTTAAGGACCTTACGTAGCCAAAAGGGGGGATCCAGGCCCCTCGGGCCCCCCCAGCCTCATCTGCAGGTTGATGCGGTAGCACTGAAGGCTGCAGAGCGCCTGGCCAGTGCGGGAGCAGGCGTACCGGCGCGGGTGCGGGCAGCCAGGGACAGAGCATCGTGGCGGAGGGCCAGATAGAGATGGTCGCTGAGACACTGGCACGGGGGTGGGGACGCCCGGTGGGAAGGAAAGGGTGGAACCCTGTGCCCCACTACTGTAGCGCACCATGGGGGCCGGGGCCACAGTCCGCCCTCCCCTCCGTTCGCCCCGAGCAGCCCCTCGGCCTCCCCGCCCGCTGGGCGCCGCAGTCTTGGTGAGGCGCTCAATAGTCTGGTTCTTGTGCTCCTCAGCCCGCCGCGCAGCCTGCAGCCGCCTCTTACGGGCCCGCTCCTCGCGCTTTAGCAGCATCTCCTCGGTGAGGGCGGGGGCAGGGCAGTCCCCAGCCACAGGCAGTGGCAGCATCGGGGAAGGCTGACTCTGCGCCTTCTGGAGCAGAGCTCGCTGGGGAGAGACAGATGGAGTCAGAAAATGGTCAGGCGAGGTCCGCAGGAACTGGGAAGGGGTAAGGAGTAAGGGTGTGAGGGTACGTAGAAAGCAGGGTTTCAAGGAGCACAGGCCTTGGGAAAAGGGGTGGAATGTGCACCCTTCTCCAGGATCCCTTAATACTGCCTCCTCCCAGGTCTCCAACTTACAGCTTTAGATCCTTGACTCTCAAGGTAAAGAGTATTAGTAATGTTACTTGCCTGTCCTGTGTACCATAACTGCACATGTCTGGGAGTTTTGGTTGTTGTTTTAAATCACTTTATCTCAATGGATAGCATCAATTGGATAACTGCTCAAGCCAGGTTTAGCCTTGATTCCTCTTCCCTGCACCCAACAAATGTCTACTTCCAAAATATATCCATCTCCAACAACTTCACCTTGCTTCAAGCCACCACCATCTCTCACATGACTACTTCAACAGCTTTCTACCTGCTGTCCTGGTTTCATTCCTTAACTCCACTAAGAAACCAAAGCAATCTATGGAAATGTAAGTCAAATATATCACTTCTCTGCATACAATTCCTCCATGTCTTAGTCACACTTATCCTCCTTGACCACTAGGCATGTTCCACTCTCAGGGCTTTTGTGCCTGCTGGTCTCTCTGCCTGAAAAGCTCTTCTGGTATTGGAAATGTTTTCTCTTCATAGAGGTCATCCCTCCCTATCTAATGTCTCTTTTCCACCACTTTCTGTTTCATCACTCTGTTTTTGTTATAAACCTAACAACTTTTCAAAATTATTTACTTATTTATCCCCCCAATACACACATGAATATCAGCTCCATGAGAACAGAAACCTTGTTTGTCTTTCCTCCATCACTGATTCCCCACTGCCCAGCAAAGTTCTTAGGACATGCAAGGTTCTCTCTATATATTTGGTAACTGAATAAAGAATGAATCAATTTACCTGTCGAGCAGTAAGCAGCCGTTCATTGATTTCCTTCTTGAGGTCTCCATTGTCATCCAGCTCCCCCTTCTCCAGGGCATCCAGCCACCTCTGTTCCTCCTCTTCCTCCTGACCCCCTAAGCCCCCTGATAGGTCACGAAGCGGGGAGGGGGACAAATTACTGTCTTCATCTGGAAAGTTGGAGAGATAAAATAATTGTTCAGATGGAGCACCCTAATTTGCCCAGGTTGATGCTGGGATACTCAAAATTCTCACCCCATCTCGAACAAAACCTCTCCCCTTAACCACGTATAAGAATAAACCCCACCTCCAGATCCTTCTCACCCAGCCAGGCACGGTACTGCTCAAGGGGGACCCCTTCCATAGGCTCCTCTTCATTATCCACAACCATAAGGGGAGAGGGTGAGCGAGGCCCCTCAGGAATCACAGTGAAGGTAGGAACACTGCAGAGAAGCAACACCACACTGTAAGCTGAGCAAGTGTCTCCCTTCTGCTTAGTAGCTACTTCCAGCTTTCTCTACACCCTCTACTATTCTTGCTGCCTTAACCTAGACCCTTAAGTCAGTGTCCATTCTCAGTCTCCTGGAAAGCTCAGCCAGCTTCCCCTTCTATCTTTGCCTGCTCCTAAAGTTCCCCAGGTAAAACCTTGGCTCTCTTAGCCTCACCTCTTGGTGCCTAGGACCTGCCCACCCAGCTTGATTTTGAGTTTGAGCTGGGGCTTGGGAGGAGATGGCTGTGTGGGCCCAGCCTCTTCTTCCTGGTGGTGTTTCTTCTTGTGTTTCTTCTTGTGCTTCTTGTGCTTTTTTTTGTGCACTCCGTGGCCGTGAGCACTCGCAAGACTCAACTCCAGCGCTTCCCCTGCGGAAGGAGAGACTCTCAACGGTGTTCGGTAGGAGCGGAGCAGTGAGAATCCTGAAGAACTCAATACCCCTTAAGAGGTCCCACTCTTCCCGCGGTACTCGCGGTTACCATAACAACAGCCCTGCCTTTCTCCTCCCACCTGTGGCGAAGTACCTTGGAAGCTCCGAAGAGGAAGACAAGGACTCCTTTTCTGTGAATGCCTAAGATGCTTTATCGACCTACACGTACCTGGCTCAGGGGCCTCCATAGCCCCAGAGGTGCTCCCGCGCCGCCACAGCTTACTCATGGGGTCTTGCTAGGAAACGAGGCTGGCAATGGTCGGGACACAGGCAGACATGCCTTTTCCGCCCCGCGGAAGAACTAACACCAGCAAAATAATCGGTCACTTCCGGTGCGTGGCAACCATGCTTGTGCGGGGCATGCTTTGCGGCTAAAAGTCCTCCCAGAGAAACAACAATACTCCCAACAAAAGTTCCGGACCCTTTGAGGCTGGTACAACTCAAATGGGCAGGGCTTTCCCCTGATTTCGTCTCTCCACACCGGATTCTAGAGCTCAGCGCGGGCGATTCAATTATTATTACACTCAGGCGTGGTGAGCATATGCTCCGGACCAAATTCGAGGCTAGGCTATGAGAATACAAAGATGAATATGAACACTTTCCTCTGTTTTTGAGGAGCTCACAGTTCGGTGGAAGAATAATACATAAGGAATTGTATTGCTGGCAAAACGGCAGAAGTGCTTAACAGCACAAGTGCCCTAGGAGCAGAGCAAGTGGTATTTAAGCCTAAATTCTCATTAGTAGAGAAATGGGTAAGTGAATTATGGTGCATCTGTCCAATATGGACCATCATGTTGCTAACAAAAGTTAAGAGTGATCAGTAATTGATAAAATTGGCATGGAATTTAGATCAGAGTGGATAATAACACTGAAAACAATCTAGGTGTTCCTCTTATGAAACAACAAAATAATATGGTGTATGGATTTGGTACATCCATATAACGGGAAGCTCTGCTGCTATTAAAAGAAATGAGGCCCCAGGAGTTTACTCAAGAAACTGGTGATGGCAATTCTGATGGGTGACTGGGGAACAAGGATGAAGGGAGACTTGTTTTTCATAAAATACCCTTTTGTGCCTATGGAATTTTGTATAAAATGTGTTTTACCTAATTAAAAAAAAAAAGAACAAGGTAGATCTATGTGCTGATATATGAAACAAGAAAAGCAAGTTTTAAAATGATGTGATCCCATTTTAAAAGGCATAACATGCTACCATATGCATAGAAAAAAATTAAGGAATGTATACTATACCATTATTGGTGGTTATCCTTAGAAGTTGGAGAACTTTCACTATTTAGATCCATAATGAATTTTCTTACAGCCCATATTTATCACATTTATAATTAGAATAAAGCACCATCTATATACATATATTTAAATATGTATGATATGTGTATCTGAACAGGGTAGCAGCAGTGAACAAAAAAAGAACTGATTCAAGAGATTTCATTGGTTAAAGGAATCAACGAGAAATTTTATGTGAGAATTCAGTCAGTAAGTATAGTATAGTATAGTGATTCAATGTACTATAGAGATTCAAATTAAGAGAATAGACTTTGGAGTCAGACAAGCCTATTATCAAATCCCAGTTCTACCATATGGACAAAAAAGGGGCCACATACTAAACCTGACAAGCTCAAGGCAGGCCCTACAAACTCAGAGACCAAAAGCAACCACATAGAATGGCGGATAGTCATGTCTTAGGCCTATAGCTTCCTCGAAAAAGGTCAATCTTTACCTTAAGTGAGCATGTCTATTGTCTTTTTGTATCTAAGATAACATACCTTTGAAATGTCAGAGTAATCCCTTTTTTGGGACCCCTGAGGGCACAACCCACTGCACCAAAGCATTAGACCACAGAACCCTCATTGTTATCTTGTTCCCCACATACCATCTCTATGTGCTGTAAATGTTGTTAACTATCCTGTACCCACCAATGTAAAAGGAGTGTGTGTCTCTCTGTTTTACTTTTTATCCAATCCCAGAGATTTCTCCGCTTTGCTTTCTTTCACCTGCTTAGTCTACCAATGGTTTTCACGTAACCTCCTTACATCTCCTCCTTTGACTCTAATGTATAAAATAAGCTGCCAATTCTCCAAAATTCTCCAGAGCACTTTCTCAATTCGTTGAAATTTTGCCTCCTGGCAATTGTCATCAGTTTGGCTCAAAGTCATAAAAATTCTCCACATATTTGGATGTTTCTTACATTGACAACCATCTATTAGCATGTAATCTTGGGCACAAAGTTATTTAAGCTCTCCGAACCTCAGATTTTAATTTTGTGAGATGGAATGAAGTAGGACCTACTTCACAGGGCTCTTTCAAGGAGTAAAGCAAATCTAGAATGTAAAGTACCTAAGGTAGTATCTGTCACATGGTAGATGTTCAATAAGCAAACAACAATAATAAATGACTTCAACATTTTTAGCCCAAGTATTTTAAGGGAATAAGGTGTTTTAAATAAAGAGAACATAGGGAGAGAAGCAAATAAAATGAGAATCATTTCTTTCTGCCTAAGGTACATTTGTAGAGCCTGTGGGAATGCCCAGATGAAGATGGGCTGCTGAGAGAAGAAGCCAATGCAGAAAATGTGAGTGGGGGTATCATCGGCATAATAAGAGGTCCCTAAAGGGAAGAGAACAGATGAAACATTCCAGCAAGAGCAAGTAGATAAAGAGGAAAGGACCAGAAACACATCTGAGCGGGCACCTGTCCTGGACGGGTAGGCAGACGAGCCAGGCTGGGTTGAGAAGAGGAGGTCAAGAGAGGCAAGAAAGGCATGCAAAGGCAGGGAGTATCAGCAGATGAAGGCTATGATCAGCTGTGTACAGACCCGCAAAGGGCAGGCTGAGCTCCAAGAAAAGGATGCATTCTAGTAGGGTGTGAAGGCAGTAGTCAGTCCTCTATCACCAGGAGTTAAAGAGAGGGATCACCTGCAGTTAGTGTTAGAGTTTATAACCTGCTTTCATATCCCTTCTCTCCCTTGATCCCCATGGTAGTGCTGTAAGGGAGATGCTATCGTTCCCTCAAACTGAGGCTCAGAGAAGTTAAATGATTTAGCCAATCAAATAGGGAGTGACAGAGCCCGACTCAAACAGAAGCTTCCTGACACTGGGCCCAGTGGTGTTTCCTCAACATCCTAATACCCAGTAGGGAGAAAGTGGGGACAGCAAGTAGCCACTGGCTTTATTATTTTGTTTTGTTTTTAGTTTTGCTTTGTTTAGAGTGGGAGAGATGTGAGTACGTTTGTAAGCTGAAAGGAATAACTTTATCCTTCCGAAAAGTTCTTGGCCTTATTTTTTAAATATAATTTATTTTGAAATAATTTTAAACTTACAGAAAAGTTGCAAGACCACAAATAACTTTTAAATCTTCAGATTTCTTTTAGGTATCTCTTTGCTGATTTACTTCAACTGATGGTTTATGGAGTACTTCCTACGTGCCAGGCACTGTGCATAAAGCAGTGGACAAGACAGACCGTCCCTCCCTGGGGAGCTTATAGTATAGAGAAGCGACAATAGATAGTCGCTTCCTTTCTTTCACCTCATCTATCCTTTGAGGTTTATCTCAAAGGCCACAAATTTTATAAAATCTTTTGATCTGCCTTTCCCACCAACCAGAAGAACTCCATTTTCCATGTAAATTTTTGCAAGTTGAGGACGTTTGTTGTTTTTCCTGTCCAGCATCCATTCCCTCACTGTAAGCTGAGCAAGTGTCTCCTGGAACAGTCTTTGGGAACCACTTCTCCCCTCCTCTCTCTTTCTCAGCTCACTGGGTTCTAACTGGTCTCCAGGAGTGTGTTAAGTAGTCCAGGCCTGGCCCACTGGACAGAGAATCCTCCTTAGTCTAGTGATTGGTTCAGGTCTGGCCACACCTCTGGCTACATAGATTGGTTTGGGAGGGATAAATGATCCCAAATGGCCCATAGTGAATACAAGACACATGTAGGAGCTTCAGGAAACAGCTCTCTTTTCCACTAAAGTTAAGCCTGAAAAGATATAGACTCAGAATTTTTGGCAACAATCATGTTATGCTGTGGAGAGTGAAGCCAACATGGAGGAAAGAAGAGCCAGTTGTTGGGAAGAGACAGGATCCTTGCATCACTGAATGCCAGGGTAGAGCCATATACAAAGCCTGATCGCTGGTCATTTTAGTTCCTTAGGGCAATAAATTTCCCTTTTTGCTGAAGTAATTTTAAGTCAAGTTCTTTAACAAAATATTGAGTAATTTGCCATAACAGAGCAATGCTAACCTGGGCTGTCTAAAGCTAAAGGCTGATATTTTTCTGGCTCCAGCTCATCTACTATGAAGGAGCCTCTCTCTCTCTTTCTCTCCAATAAGTTCTGAAGTCCCCAGGAGACTCCTCATGTGTCTTTAGCAAGCTAATCCTCTGCCATTTCCTTCTCTCTCGGTTCTCTGGAAGTGAGGAGGGCCTTCCCCCGCCTTCTTTTTTTTGAATGGAAAATGATAACCCCGTTTCAGCCACACAGCAAAGAGTGATAGCCATTTTTGACACCGCCATATCCTCTCCCATTTGAA